TATTATTAAAAAAAACAGGCTGCTCTTAATTCCTGGGTGAGATAAGATCAACATGCCCTCCATTTAGAGAAGCAATCATATTTAGTGTAGAAAACAAATGAAAAATAAGTATTTATAGGGGGTTTGCTGTGAGCTGGTATTGCTGAGGATCTTGGGGCAGGTGAAGGGCTTTACACTTAATTTTTAAATTTGATTTGTTCTTGCAAAATGATGTCTTGTGTCATGCAAGACAGAAGACATATGTTAAACTTTAGTTAGTGATTCAACACACTTGAGTTCATCTCTAGCAATTATCCCAAAAGGATTTTGCATTTAATGACTTACATACCTGTTTGAATTCTGCCCTGAGTAATGAATGTATTTTTTTTCTGGAGATGAAATCCAGCCACCTGAGGGAAGGAGCTTTCAGGCAGGACTTGCAGGTCAGACTTGGGCATTCCATGCACAGATTTTTGAACAAATCTAGAAGTATCCTCAGCAGGGAGGTGGGACTCCAAAAAGTCCACAGAAGTGAAAGAAGTTAATTTACAGCATCTGGAATGGTCTGTGCCCACACCTCACACACTCTGACCTGTGCAGATGGAGGCTCTGCTCAAGAGCTTCCCCCAGAAACTGGGAGGCAAATTACAGCAGTAGCAGGAGGTAACACTGGCTATAATAAAGAGAACAGCAAATTATGGCCACAACTTCAAGGCAGATCTCAAAGCTGTGATTTGCCAGAAAAACTTCATTTTCCTTTTTTAAAACATCCTTTTTTTCTCTCCTATTCCCTCCAAAGCCCAGCTTTGGTGATACTTCCACAGCGCTGGGAATCCTAAGACTTTATGAACTTTATTTGATGTTGTCTCCACTGAAGTTCAACCCTTGGAAAGATCAGGAAGCTGTCCCTCCTTTCCACTGTCCCACTTCTGTTTATTGCCAGCACATTTTCAGGTCTGATATTTTTCTTGTAAAAGACCAACCCTAACTGTACCAGAAATGACCATTCCAAAGCTGTCACGGTGCCAGAAAATTTATAAACACTTCTTAATAAAATTGCAGAAGATGATTTCTCATAGCCCTTAATGAATAACTTTTAGTCTGTTCAACTCATAAAATGTCCTCCTGGTATCCTCTCATGTCTTTTTTTGGGTGGGGATGCCACCAACTATATGTTTTTTATCAAACTTCTGTATCATATTAAAAGATTAAAGATACATATAGAGCTTTTTTTTCCCCTGCCATGTTCAAAAATGTCTTCAGATAGTGCTTCTCTCCATAATATGTTTAGACAGTATTGCTGCAGTGAATACTGTAGGATTCTGTTCTAATTCATATTGTTGCTAGAATATTTCTAGAGTCCCATACCTTCTGGGTGGTTTTCCCACAAGCAGCTCTTCACAGCAGTGTTGCTCCTGCTTCTTTGTCAGGGCTTCTCCAAGGTTCTCCCTGACTGCCCCACCCCCTTTTATCCCAGTTATCTTCATTAGCCACAGCTGCAGCCCATTTAGAACAACTAGGATTGGGGCAAGGCCACTTACACAATAGATAGATTTTACTAGGACTCCTACTATATTTTCCCCTTTTCTTTTACTTACAGGTATTCAAGTACAGTATAGATATTCAAGTACAACACATACATTTCCCCATGACTCAAAGGCCATGGACAACACACATATTTCCCCATGGCTCAAAGGCTGTGTTTCACCACAGCTCCTTGCTCAAAGGCCACCTTCTCACAGCTCCTGGCTGTCAAAGCTCCTCAACTCAAAGGCCATGTTTCTTCACAGCTCTCAGGCCGCCACAGCTCCCGGCTGTCCTATCTTCCACAGCTCTCAGGCTGCATATCTCCATCACGTCAGGGTCACCACTTGTTGTATTCAAATTGCTGTTATATATTGCATTCATATTGCTATTATATTATTCCTAGAGTCCCATACCTTATGAGCAGTTCTTCTCAGCAGTGGTGTTGTTGTTGTTGTTTCACAGCCCTGCTTCACAGTCAAGGCTCTCCCTGACTGGAAAGCCCATCCCCCTTTTATCCCAGTTGCCTTCACGAGCCACAGCTGCTGCCCAATTAAGGACTTCACAGCTGTAGCTCATTTAGAACAACTAGGATTGGGGCACAGCCACTTACACAATACATATATTTTACAAGGACTCCTACTACAGGATTCCCGTTTTTTTAGATTCTTTTCCTTCCATTTGGATAGTCTCATTTATTGAAAATATATACATATATATATGTGTGTATATATATAAAAATATATACACACACATATATATATATGTGTATATATATGTGCATATATATAAATATATAATATTATTTTTATATAAATATAATTTATATATTATATATAATGTATGTATTTTTATATTTTATATATATTTTTATATATCATATATATATACACACACACATATATATATGCACATATATGTATGTGTGTGTGAATATATATATGTTATTTTATACTTCTGCCACCCACATTTAAAGCTTATTGATAGGGTATCAGGAAAATCAAACATGTTTCCACTGGGTATTCCCAAGAGGATTTACATTTCTGCAGACCATGGGCCCTGCAGAGGATATTGTAGTTGCCAACCAACCCTACAGGGGTTGATTTTGGCTTTTAGGCATCACAGGTGTGAGGCAGCCCCAAGAAGGTTGTTTGACAGAGGTGAGGCAAACTGCAATGATCCACAGGCAGTTATTTCTGCCCTCTTTCAGGGCAGAAAAGAAAAGAAAAGAAAACCAGCTGTGGCATTGCTGAGCAGCAGTGAAAGGTGTTGGTGATTACACATTTTTCTAGTTCTTAAGATAGTGTGAGGTTAAGATGAATGAAATAGAATCTTGCAAAAGTGATACTAAATAATAGCACAAAATTGGAATAATGGAAATGAATTAATAGAATAAACAGTGAAATGTCCTAAAGCTTTAGCCTATAGGTTTGAAAAAATGCTTGAAATTAGAGACAGTAAAATAAGACCAAAGAGAAATGGTTAGGAATTTGCTTGTGTAACTCTTTCAATGAAGGATTTTTTGCACACCTCACCATCCATCTCTGCCATCATTAACTAGAAACAGGAGGCTAAAGCCTTGGTACAGCTCATCTGTTTTGATTTTCACAAGACAAATTCTGTATTTTCATTTTGGCCAAAAGAAATCTGCAACATTTTCATATAGTTTCAGTGCTGATAGGTACAAGTTAATCTATTAAAGATTATAATTTTATTTGGACCTGATATATTCTGATGCCAGCAGAATTCCCTCATCAGCTGGTATCAGGGTATGATTCTTATGTGACTCACAATTGTTTAGCCCATGAGATTTATTTGTCTTTTAATTTGATGTCAAAAAACATTGATGTCAAAAACTATTATTCTTTTAAAGACTTACAATTCTGATGGTCAAAAGCCAAAAATATTGGTTTGCACTTGGCAGGAGGGTGTGTTTGCTGCAGGTAGCAGTGCTTCTAAAGAGTAACTTCAGTTGCTTTATGCCAAAGAGCCTCTGTGTCCTCTTTAACAGGCCTTCATGTTGACTGCATGAAATACTGTTTATGCCAAACATTCTCCCACAATTTTCAAAGCTTTTACTGGTGTTTGCATTGAAATCTTTCACCTAAAACCAGTTTAGGGATCCATTTGATGCTTTTTTGCATAGATATGCACTTTGATAGAATCCTGGAGGTGGAATGGACCTTAGGGCCCACCCAGTGCCATCCCTTGCCATGGGCAGGGACACCTTCCCCTATCCCAGGCTGCTCCAAACATGTTTTGGTGTTTTCTACTCCAAGCCTGACCTTGGGCACTTCCAGAGATGGGGCAGCTTCTCTGGGCACCCTGTCCACAGGGCATGGGAGGCAGCCTGTGTGGGGACAGGTACCTGTGAGCTCCTCAGGCTGTGGAGGGATAATCAAATCTGGCCCATGGCACTGAGTAATCTGGTTATTTTAATCACTACATGTGACTCTGCATTATCATCTGTATTATGGGATAATATGATCTCTTTGGTATTCAGCAATGACTTTTTAAAAATTATCATATATATTATACAGAGCTAATATATTAAGAGATACCTTAAAGGCAATTGTCAAGTGTGTGATTTCATCTCTAAGTTCTAATAATGGTGGTTAATGTCATAAATGCCTTTTAATGAAATTATAGGCTTGTAACCCTGCCCAACTATCCTTTGTGTGTTATATAATTAATCAGACCAAGCTTTGGTGTTGATGGTGCAAATTTCCATATGCTGGTGGATGGTTAGTGTCCCATCAGAATAAGAATAAGGTTAAGGCAGTTTGAGTATATGTTACCTTATCTTTAAAGGCAGCTGGATGGGCCTGTTAACAGAATATACTTCTAACAGAATATATATGCTCATAAAAAAGGGCCATTGATCTAATGTCTTATTATAATCCTACAGGCAATATTTTAAGGGAGTGAAAAGGTGAGGGAGTTGCAGCACTTGGAATAAAGAATTGTTTTCCTTCTAATCCTCTAAGGATAGTGAAAATTTGTGACCAACTAAAAAACCATTTGAAGATGGACAAGGATCTTTGTCTTGAGTTAGAGACACTTGTCTGGAATGTGACAGAGCTGGGATTGTTTCCCAGTGTGCTCTAATTTCTGGGGTCTCTGGCTAAATTGATTGTTTTTTATGACCATCACATTTCCTGTCTGAAGAACAAGGACCATAATATTTCTTTTCTTTGTCTCACATTTCCAGATTTTAAGCTTGCTGAAGCAAAAGAGCTATCTATTTATTATTTTGTTGGGTTTTTTCTCTTTGGTAATTGAATCTTACAGAATCATTCATACTGGACTAACTCAAGGTCATCTTATTCTGCCTCCTGGTCAGAGCAAGAGCAATGTTGAACTTCTCCCCTCTAGGCCATTTTCTCATTGTAAATATTCATAATTGAACCAGCCATTTTGCGTGTCACCAGTGAAAGTTAGTTCTCCAAAACCATGTGAAACTAATTAGCATTATTGTACTGTTCGTCTTCCTTCAGGGAATGATGTACCTGGAAGAGAGGAGACTTGTCCACAGGGACCTGGCAGCCAGGAATGTCCTGGTGAAATCACCAAACCACGTGAAAATCACCGACTTTGGCTTGGCCAGGCTCCTGGAAGGGGATGAAAAGGAGTACAATGCTGATGGGGGCAAGGTGAGCACTGAACATGTCTGCAGGTAAATCTACCACGCTGTGACAAAGCTCCTGAAGGTCCTCCTTAGGTCAATGTGTCCCTGTGGGACTGTGTGACAGAGTCTGTCAGTGGCTGAGCAAAGCCCTGCCTTGCAGAAGAACTCTGTTGTGAAAGCACACATAAAAGCTGCTAGTTTTTTGCACAGTGAGCTTCTCCAGGCACTGAAATATAATTGCACTAGCAGTTTTCACACTCAAAATTGTTTTTTTTTTCACATGTTCCAGTTTGTGTCTTGTTTTGACTACTTTGGTTCAATGAGTGGTGGATGTTCTGGGGCATTCCTGCCCAGCCTCTTTCTCTGGCCAGTATGCACCTTAATAATGTGCAGTCCCACTTTCCTAGACAAGTAATTTTTAAGAAAACAAAAGGGAAGGCCACAGAACATGAGAATTTAGCCCTTCTATCACATTGGAAGAGCCTTTGTAGTTATATCTTGTGTCCATCTCCCCAGTACCATGCTGAATGCCAGGCCACTGAAATAACAATAATAATAATAATTTTGAAACCAGATCTTTTCCCTTATTACTTTCCAGCAAACCACACCATGGCCATGTAGTGCCTTACCTTATTTCTGCCAATTTCAGATTAATGCATGATAAAATTCAGGAGGCAGTAAGTAGGTGGTGCTTCTGACTGCTCCCTAAACATCTTGAAATTCCTCATTTCAATCTGTCACAGAATCCCAGAGGATTTGCTTCACCTGTCATTCCTTTTCCTGGATGTTCAGTTTGCTTTCTGTCTCCTTGGTCTCTGTGGTTTTTTGGGCTCACTCATGCCCTTGGCTGAGACAAACAGCTGTTCCAGTGTGTGCTGTTCTCTGGGATGAGCTGCTGCCTTCTTTGTGTGCCTGCTGCCCTTGGATCACCTGGCCAGGGCAGTCAGGGAGTTGAAGAGCTTGAGAGGAGCCACCAGTGCTTTCCCATTTCCCCATGGGAAGATACATCCTGGCAGGGAAGGTGGGGTTTTGGCAGCTTCCCCTGGCTCACTTATTTCTGTAATCCTCTTCTTGGTAGCCCCTCAGGCTCTTCCCTCCATCTGACAGTGAATGACAGAAAAAGAGTTTATCCTTGCAAACCAGCTGTTCCCTGGCAGCTGTGTCTTGGACTTGTTACCCTGCTGAGAGCTCTGGAGCAGGAATTAGGGGAGATGTATCACTTCCCAGGTCCAGAAAAGCATCCTGTGAAATCAGTATTGAGAGCATGCCAAGGGAGGTTCAGACTGGACAATCAAGGGGTTGTCAACAGAGGTGGTGCAGTTTCCATCCTTGAAGGATTTCAAGTCCAGACTGGACAAATCTCTGAGTAACTTGGCCTAATCTCCTAGGCCTGAACCTGCTGAGAACCTGAGGTGGGACTAGAGGCCTCCTGAATCACTTCCAACCTGAGTTATCCCATCATGAGCAAGGCATCTTTGCTCCTTCAGCACCTGTTCACATCTGGGATCCAATGGGAATGAAAGCAATGCCCTTCTGCAGAGTGCAGTGGGGGAGGATGAACTGTCTTTGCAAGAGTTAAGGCAGCCTTTATTACAAGGTGCTATTTTTGCCTTAACTCTATAGGTTATGTTCATTAGTGAGCTTCATGGAAGGTAGTTTCATAAGGGTTTGAATGAAGACACATCCTCTGCTTTTACACCCACCATCTGTTCAGATTTTGCCTGCAGTTACTCATCCCTTTGGTTTATTCCAGTACCTCTTCCATAATTCCAAACTGCAGTCAACCCATAGGAGTCCCTGCCAGGTAAAAATCTCCTAAATGTTCGTCCTTCAGAAATTCATGGACTGCAGAGCTGTGAGGCCTTGTGAAGGCTGACCCAGAACAGAGGCCAGACGGAGCTAAAGAATAAAGGACTTATTAAAAGGCCTCAGTGGATCCACCTTGGGCAGTGCAAGAGCCCAGCCAGGACTGCACCCGAGATGAACCAAAATGGTCACAAAATGGACAACTGGTCACGGGGTCTCTCACTTTTATAAGTTCTGGTCCATTTGCATATTGGAGTTAATTGTCCATGAAGTCATGAAGTCCCATCCTTGTTTTTCTCTCTTCAGTTCACCATTGTTTATGCTCTTGGGCCTGAAATTTGGATTATTTGTCCTTGGTCCCCAGCTAGAGAAAGAATTGTTTTGTCTCCCTGCTCTATGCAGAGAGCTCACCACCCCCGAATATGGAGCTCAGAACTACACACTAAACCAGCACAGAATCTGAAAAATATAAAAGCTAAAACCTGAGGCATCAGCTGTGCCTGCTGGGCCCAGCTCAGGAATGGGAAACACCATGAATCCCGTTTTAACAGGAACTCAAGAGGGTGGGCTGGAATGCAGGAATGAGGTTTGGTTTGCCTGCACACCTTCTCTGTCAGAAAAGATTCACTGACACTGGAATGAACGTGGGGCTGCTGACTTAGTTTGGGAAGCAACTTTTCCCACTGCTGTGCTGATACAGAGAGCTGGGATGGCTCCTGGGATGGTTTTTAACAAATATTGGGAGTTAACAATAAAGCACTGCAAATTCTCTTCATTGCCTGTTTACCATCATAATGATAATGATGATGATGGGGATGCTGAACTGTTTTGGGCCCTGCATTGTAACCTGGCCTTATCAGAGAGCAGTTGAGAGAGCAGTGTTGCTATTTCAGATTGCAGAGATTGCAAACTGTTAAGGAATAAAAGCTCCTGCATTCCACCTTCTCTGCTGCACTTCAGATCTAAGGGAATTACATGCAATTTCTGCACTGGTCCCTCTTTACAAAGGTTTGATGAAACCACAGGTTGTTCCATTACTTCTGAATCAGTAAATATCACAAGTTCTGCAGGTAACTGGTTCATCTTTCCCACCTACACGTTTTATGAGGCACAACCCCATTCTAGAGGGCAGGAACAGCCACTTCCTCTTTTTTTTTTTTCAATCTCACATTGAAGGAGACAGGGAGAAAAAGTTGTTGTATTCACACAGGATCTGTTTGTATTGTTTTAATAATGTATTTCTAAGGTTACATTTCTCTTGTCCTTCCCTAGATGCCAATTAAGTGGATGGCTCTGGAGTGCATACACTACAGGAAATTTACCCATCAGAGTGATGTGTGGAGCTATGGTAAATCTGCACGTGATTAGTTTCAAAAGTTGTGTCTTTTAAAAGCATTAAACCAAGTTGTGTTACTATGTTAAAGATATCTTTTTTCTCAAAGGAGTTAATTCCAGAGGCATTTGCTCCTCAGGTTTTGGGATTTTTTTCCTTTAAATGTGTAACTCTAAGCAGCAGTTGTTACTGTCTCCTGTGTTACTGCCCTGCTCACTGAAATATATTATCATGATGTTCCCCACTGGGGTGAGTGCCTCCAGCTCTGGTCTGGTAGCAGTTTGGCTGATTATTATGACAGAAGAAGACCTCTTTCAGCTTAGCCATGGATTCATAAAAATACAGCTGCAGGTCACAATTTTCAGCAGTCTTTGAAAAGCTCAACTCTAAAAGCCATGAATGTCAAAAAACATTTTCAGGCTTATGGGACTTTCTCTACCTAGAGTCAGATAAAAGGGAATTTGTCATAATACAGAGCAAATATGGCAAGAGAAAGAAAAGGAAGAGACAAGCTCTCCAAACTAACTAGAACAAGCATCTATTTAATTTCACAGCTAACTTGGGAATTGGTGAGCTACACACACAGAGAAAAAGTCATATTTGAGAAATGAGGTGTTCTTTCAGTGTTGCTAATGGTTATTCAGATGAGCTGTTTGCCACATCTGCTGAGGTCTCTGCCTGTTTATCTGGTACAGCTATTACTAATAAAATCATGTATACCTTTGTAAATGAAAATTTGCAGCAATGTCTGGGCCTATGGAGTCCTATTTGCATTTCCTGTTGCCATATTATTCTGAGCCAAAAGGGTGTGCAGCTCTATTCATTACTCACTTTTACCTGTGGGTAGCAGCAAAAGACACTGTTTGCTGTGGCTGGGTAGCTGCCCTCTTCTAGTCAGCTGAAAAGAGCCTGGGAGAGTTCAATTGATCTTGTGAAGCTGCTCTTTCTCTTCAAATTCTTGGATCACTCAGGAAAAAATATGACTTCATTTATGAACTTCATTTTAAATGCAGGAAATCCAGAAATCCATTCTGTAATCAGAAAGACAAAGACTATAAACAATTGACAGTAGTTAACAATATTAACAATAGTTATTTAATATCAGCAAGGAGATGAATGAGGGTGAAATAAATGTGGTTTACTCATGTGGTAATTTTGCCCATCACTTTTCACATTAGCATGACAGTTGTCAAAATATGGTACTGATCTGAGGCATGCTTAAAATGACCTTTGCAATTCAAATAAAAGTTAAACAAAACAGTGTGAGAGCAGCATTTTCAATATTTAAGATTCTGTTCAGGCACAAATTCTTTTATTTGTGATATATGATCTTTAGTTCAAGCTCTGAAGCCAAAAAAAATCCTATGGCTTCTCAAAAAGAGAACCTTGGGTTTGTAGTGCAGCACTATGATAAATTCACATCCATGAGGTGATTTAAGGGAAGAAATGATAGCAGTGGCTGTGAATGGCTTGCAAGGCAAAGCCAATGACCTCATGTTACTCAGTGCTGTACCTTTGTGGGAAATTGATGCTCTAATTTAGGGAACATCTGTGCTTTTTCCTCTTAAAATAATAGAGTGCATCAGGCACTCATTTCCCTTTTTGATAAAAGAGTGTGATGCATTCTTTTGTTATTGCACCCATTTACTTTACCACCCTTCATTTGTCTCAGACCTTTCTCGTGTGCCTCAGGTCTATCATGCCATTTCTTATACGAATAAAAATGGGGGAAATTTCTTTTGAAGATTACCACAAAGTGCTGTTTCACCATTTTCCAGAGTTTTTAAGTGGCAGACTGTCATGGTTTAAGCCCAGATGGCAACTAGTCACAAGGAGCCACTTGTTCTGTCTCCCCAGTCCAAACTTCAGTTTTCCAGGCACTGATGGAGAAGAGATTGCAGTCCAGAACTAGGCCAGGCTACTCTGCTGTGAGGGAATCTGAGCAGTGTGACCCCAACCACTGACACTCTTTCTTCTGCCTAGGAGTGACCATCTGGGAGCTGATGACCTTTGGTGGGAAGCCATACGATGGAATTCCAACTCGAGAGATCCCCGACCTGCTGGAGAAGGGAGAGCGCCTGCCCCAGCCCCCAATCTGCACTATTGATGTCTATATGGTGATGGTGAAGTGTAAGGAATTGTCACTTCTGATACCCCTGTAGTTCTGTATTTTTTAGTATAGTTTAGTTTAAGATGTTTCTATGGTGATGGTGAAGTGCGAGGAATTGTCATTTTTGATCCCCCTGTGCTGGCTGCAAGAGGGACCCTGATTTAGAACATTTGCATAGGTAGAGCTGGGAAACAGGGCAAGCTGCTGCCAAACAAAAGCTTCCCAAGATGCTGTAAATTCCATTTAAACAGTGTCTGCACATCTTTTGCAGTTTTGCAATTGTTAGCTACGAAGGGCCCAGTTAGCTCAGCCTCTTATTGTGACCGTCATATTCCTATTTGAAAAATCTCTTTGCCCAGGATTTTCTCCTGGGAAGCTGAGCCTTAGAGAAAAATGAAAACAACAATTATCTGATTTGTTTCTGCTGTGTTTTGCTGTTTTAGAATGTGTTTGGACATAGTTTACTAACAGGTGGTTGTTTCATTGGTTTCATGTGAATTGTTTTTACTTAATGACCAATCATGGCCAAGCTGTGTCAAGGCTCTGGAAGGAGTCACAAGTTTTCATTATTATATTTTAGCTTTCTGTCTATATCCTTTTTGTATTTTTTAGTGCAGTTTGGTTTAGGCTGTTCACCTGGTGAAGTGTAAGGTATTGTCACTTTTGCTACCTCTGTTCTGGCTGCAAGAGGGACCCTGGTTTAGAACATTTGCATAGGTAGTCTCTGGCAGAGCTGGGAAACAGAGCAAGCTGCTGCTGCTGCCAAACAAAAACTTCCCAAGATACTGTAAATTCCATTTAAACACTGTCTGCACATCTTCTGCAGTTTTGCAATTGTTAGCTATGAAGGGCTCAGTTAGCTCAGCCTCTTATTACTGTCAGATGTTATCTCATATTCTTGAAGACAAAATTGACTGATTGTTATTGTAAACCCTTGTCATTTCCATGACAATTGATTCTGATGTAAAAAAGATAGGATTAAAAATAATTATGGCACATGGATACCCAGCCAGAGAAGGCTGTGAGGAGAAACCCGTTTCCAAATATTGAGGAAAGAAATCATGAAGGTTTTATTGTTAGTAGCAAGAATGATGATTGAAATGGTAATAATAAAAAGTAAAATTAATAGAAGAAATGCTACAGAGAGGATTATTTTTTATCATTTGCAGTCCAGTACAAAAAATTATGAATATTTTACTCTAGTAAAAAGGGAAAAAAAGTCTGCACATGGTTTCTTCCAAGTTTTTTATCTCCAAGACACCCCCTCTAATGACAGTATCCTCCAAGGTTATACTTCTAATTTAAAAAGAATTAGAAATATCTCTCTGATATTTCTGGCTTAATTTAAGTGAGATTAACATGCAGACATCTCATCCATCATATATACTTCTTTCCCTTTTGCTTTGTACACAAAAGCCCTGCAAAAAAAAAAAAAAAAAAAAAAAAAAGGAAAGGACAACTAGAAGTAAATTAAGTATCTTCTGAAAACACTTGTACTGTGCATGGAGGTGTGGAAATTAAATTGTGCAAGAGCTTTGTTGAGTGCAAAAATGTCTCATGTGGTGAGACTCATCCTTAATAAAAGTCAGTCAGGGCTGATATCCAAGTGTGCAAGGTGGAGAAAATTGCAAGGTGGTGTTGCTGTCTGTGGGACAGAGAGGAGCCCAGCAAATAAAGGAAAATTCCATGTAGTAAGGAACAACCTAGTCTGACCAAAACTAGGTGATTTCCCTTTTATGAATCACAGAATTCCAACTTTCCATTCTTCTGGGTTCCTTATTGCAACTTTTCTTTGGGCCAGAGCTATCAAGCAGTTCAAACTTCTGCATTTTAAAAAACAGAATGATTTTCACCCTTAACACTTAACTGTTTGCTTTCTCATCTTTCATCCAGGCTGGATGATTGATGCTGACAGTCGGCCAAAATTCAAGGAGCTGGCTGCTGAATTCTCCAGAATGGCTCGAGACCCTCAGAGATACCTGGTGATTCAGGTGAGCAACCCTGCAGCATCACAGGGGTGGGAAAAACAATTCTTTCTGCAGCAACCAACTCTTAGGGGCATTGGCTTTGAATGTTTTGAAGTGTTGTTCCCCACCCCTCCTATTTGAGCCTAAATAGCTGAGATATTTCACAAAATATGTCAGAACTTGGGTCAGAAACTGATCTTGTATGGGAAAAAGAGAGAGGAAAGAATAAAAGGTCAATCACAAGAATGCCAAAAACATGGTTTTGCTTGATTCATACAGCTACTCCCTTCTTGCCATCATATTCCCAGTAAAAAAAAACCAAACAACAAAACAAAGCCACAAATTATGTGGATAAAGTGCTTTTGAACAAACAAAGCAGCATGTGTGGTCCCTGCAGCCTGGCTGCCAGGGCATTAGGAAGGCTGAAATTCTCTCACTGGGAAGTGAATCCATCTTTTGATGTTTTTCCTCTCTCAATACAATCTGTTCAGGGAGATGATCGTATGAAGCTCCCAAGCCCAAATGACAGCAAGTTCTTCCAAAATCTTCTTGATGAGGAAGACCTGGAAGATATGATGGATGCTGAAGAGTATCTTGTTCCTCAAGCCTTCAACATTCCTCCTCCCATCTATACCTCCAGGACAAGAATTGATTCCAACAGGGTAAGAGCAAGCTCTGACAGAAAATATTGGTTATTATAAAAGCACAGGTGAAGATTTAAGTGCACCAGTCAAACAGAGGCCAGCGCTGCCTTGGGAATTACAGGCTCCCTTTGTAAGGAGAGTGGCTATAAAAATGTTGTCACTGGGCTCCCTGTTCATTGTGCCTCAGTGAATTCTAAATTAATAGCCCAGCCTTGAGTGAACAAAGGCTCAGCTTGAGCTGCCTGTCCTGAAAGCACAGCTGAGGCTGCTGAAGTCAAGCAGGGCTGCATCTGCACTGTGATGTGGCCAGGAAGTGCACAGCCCTGGTGCTGCCATCCTGTTCTCTTGGCAGGGCTGCCACTGGAGGAACTGAGGGCAGCTGGAATATGCAGATAAGGGAGCTTTTGTGAATGGAGGCAGATTTCCAAGCCAGCCCCTTTTCCTGTTTGCATGTGATGCTTTCATAGCCCCCCTTCCCAAATGTGTGTTTGTGCTGAGCACGTGGCAGATGCTGGCAGGCTGAGCTGGGCACCCTCCCTGTCAGGGGAGGAAATGCTCTTCACTGCACATGGGGACTTGAGGCTCAGGGGAATTCAGAGAACTCCAACCATCTGAGGGGTAGGGGTACAATCTGAGCTCTTCCCCCACACTTCATTTCCTGGTACTGAACATTGCTGCCTTTCTGGGGCATTTCCAGTGGGATAAGTTCCTTTCTGGAGGTGTCTTTCTCTACCCCCTAACTCCTGACAGCTGCAGAGCAGTCTGTGCCCTGCTGTGGGAGCTCTGGGGTGTTGAATCCTGTCCTGCATGTCTGTGCCCTGCTGCTGGTGAGGAGCTAAGTCAAATATCTGGAATCTGTTTTCCCTCCTCTGCCTGTTCCTGTGCTTGGCGCCATCCTTTCAACATTTCACTTGCCATTCCTTCTCACATAACCAAGAGCTGGTGAAATGCATTACTCATGTGAGGGCATTCACACAGCCATCAGGTGTGTTTTAACCAGGCACTTCTTTTCTCTCCAGCCTCCTTTTGGTCCAGAGTCACAGTTTAAATACTAAGTATAGTCCTTTTGAAATGCTGCTGGCTTTTTCTCATGGTTTAGACACCTTTTAGACACTTATCCTTAGCTGAGGTGGTTCCAAATTCACACCCAGATGTGAGCTGAGTACAGCATACATGAGAGAGGGAAGAGGTGAGTGAGAGCCAAGTGTATAACCTGAGCCAGTGTCCATGCTCTGGCCATACCTGCAGGAAGCTCCTTACTCTCTCCTGAGGGAATCTGGGCTTTCTGGGAATAAAGAAGACAAAATCTGACCTTAATAGCCAGTTTGGAAGGAAATTGTTGCAAAGAGATGTCTGGATTCATGTAGCATTTCTCCTGCATCACTGAATGACAGTGAAGTAGGGATGATGCACAATTTAGCAATAAGTGAGAAACTTTCTATTTGTGGCTACAAGAGTTAATTGATAGTGATCTGAAATACATCAGGTTTACTACTGTTTGTCTCTGGAGAAGTTTTTTCCTTTCCTACCAGCTTCTGAGGAAGAATGGAAGGGCAGCAGTTACCTTTGGAAGGCACTCAGTGTCACAGGGATGTAAATCACTGGAGTTTGGTTTGCCCCAGTGGAGTGCTGCCTCTTACACCACCACAGGTCTGAGAGGGCAGGGTCTGACACAGTGCCTTTGTTATAGTCATCCCACTCCCATGTTTGCTGGAAACACTGGGACACATTTAAAGGAGAAAGGCTTTGTAGGAAAAATGGACTTGCTTTTTCAACAGCTCCCTTTGCCCTCTGTGTTGGTACCAGCCCAGTTGAGGAGCCCACTAGAGCTGAGGGAATTCCAGTAAAAATCCTAGAGTTCATATTCTGAAAGCTTTATTTACAGCATGTTATTTGGGCAGCCAGCATGGTCACTGGGATATTCCTGGAATGAAAACACAGGCATTTATTTCTGACATTATCATTAGTGGTGGTGGTGGTATCACATGAAAATTTAAATAACTTTCACAAAGCCTTTTCCCAACTTCAAAGCACATCATTTCAGCTGCTTGCACACATGTGATCTTGAACTCAGCAGAGCTGCAGAAAGAGACCCCAGGCCTCATTTTTGCCATACAAAGAGACTCCATCACATTCTTGACGTGACATCTCCTTTCCTCAGCTCACAATTTCTCATCTTGGTTTGAAACTGTGATCTTGTACCACTGAAGACAGTGGGAGCTTTGCTTTGCAATTCAATTTAATGACAGTAGCAAGACTGTATCCTCTTTTCAGTAACTTGCTGGGAGTTTTTCTCTGGCATTGTACAACAATCTAACATTTAAACAAAGCTGGAATTACTTTTTGCCAAAAGTCTGCAGTTTGTGAGCCAAGCTGCCTGACCCAGATCAGACAGGTCAGAGAGGGCTGAGCTGGAAGCCCTGCACTCCTGGTTTCCTCTGCAGAGGTGTTTTCTGGAGGTAATACCTGTGTGCAGAAATCCACATACATTTCTGCTGCCTTTGTGAAGCAGTTTCTCAGAATATTCACTACTCTTTAAGTGAAGATTGATTTAAACATAACACAATCACCCCTTTAAGGTAATAGTGCATCTGCTGTGCATAGCCCAGTACAGATGGATGTCAGCTACAGGAGTCACATGGAACTGAAATGCTGTCAGAGCTCTCTATCTGCACTTGTCTGATTCTGTCTGGGTGTTTCCTTTGGTTAGTCTCTGATTTATGCTTGTGCATATTGATACTGCACAAACTCATTATGGTGCTGCTGCGGCCATGGACACCAAATGAAAGGATACAGCTTAGGTAGCTTGTGTTCAGTGTGTCTGGCCAATTGCATTTATGGGGAGATTGTGAGGCAGCTTGGTGAAGGAAAACACACAGACAAGAGCTGCATGATCTCCATGTCATTTTCAGGGAATGAGAAGCATGGAAAGTACTGTATTTCCCACCTTAGCTGCTCCAGTGCAGGTTTAGTGGCCAAGGAGTCCATCAGGGCACCGTGCTCCTTCTCTGTGCTGGCAGTGATGGTTGAATGTTCAGCAGTACAGCTCCTTGGGGACAGAGGTGGGCAGGAGGAAAGCAAGGAGATCACAAACATAGGCTTTGAAGTGAAGGAATATCATCATTGCTGCTAGTAATGAAGGGAGGGGACTGTTTTTGGGCTAAGAACCATTTGCTCAGATAAACATCAGTCTCAGAGGCTGTGAGATTTTAAAGGAGCAAGCAGTCAGCCATAGCTCAAAGTAGGCACAAGTTCTTTGTTACAAGACAATATAGAACTTTCTTATCTAATGAAGAGTTGCCACAAGGTGTATTTTGCTTTTCTAACCTATCACCTTTACTTATTCCTACTGTACTGTGGGTACTTTTGTCTAATAGGCTTTTGTTACACTTAAACACATATGTTTCAATTATAACTTCTAAACTCTTAGAAGTTAGAACATTCTTGTACTTACAGTACTCTCTAAGAACTATAAGTACAAGAAAATTCTAAGAGAGTTCTTAGAACTCTCTTCTACTCTGTATAATCACACCTCTACATTATAAACCCTTCACTATCTTATTAATACAGTTTCTTACTTAAGGTATATTCTTACTTACAACTATAGAAACATAAGTTTGATTTTTCTACTTAATGTCTGTGTAGCTTATTTTTACATCAATCTAAGCCCCTTCCAAGGCTGCAGATTAAACTCCTCAGTGTCTGTAGATGTTTCTGTTTTTCTGATTCCCACAAAGGAAGAACAGGAGTGTTCACTTTCTCAGGAAAGCCCTGAAGTTTCCCTATGTTGGTCTCAGGTCTAAATCCTTGCAGCTTCTTGGTGGGAGAGGCACTGCAGTGCTGCAGCCCCTGGACAGAAGACTGGAAAGAGGGAGGACTTCTGGGAAGTTGCCAGCTCCCCAGGAAGTCGCACATCCTTCCTCCTCCAGGGCTTACACAGATTTATGAAGCTGCAAGGTTCAAACACAGCTCCAGCATTTCCAACACATCCATGCTGGCTCCCTTCTGGCATGTCCTTGAGACCTACCTGTGCTGCTGGCACAGGCTCTGACCCTGGCCTCTCTTGTGAAGTCCAGCTTTTAAATAAAAATTAGCATCCTAAGCTAAATTGAATTCTTTCATTGGACCTGAAACTCTTCAGCTGCAATTTTGACTCTGGCTTTTTCCAGTTTTTATTTTCCACTGTCCAGAGATACTCCAGAAAAATAGAGTTTTAGAAGCTCAGTGCTTCTGAGAGATAAGCTGAATCCTCAGCAGTGTTTCCATGAGCACAGGACCCCAGCTAGTGCTCGAGTGTCCTGCATTCCCATCCATTAGATGATTCATTCAGGTATTTTTAACGAGTGCTGTCCTGTGTGTGCAGAGATAATGCTAATACAGCAAGCACTCTGTGTGCCCCACAATGCTTTTTGCTCTAAATCCTTGGCTAATTCCTGATGAAAACTGTCTATACTGTTTATTGATGCTGTCCCTGTAATTTTGTTCCAAGCACTGTACATCATGGAAGCACCAATTGCCAACCCTGCAATTAAATATCAAGCAATTTTTTTTTTTTTTCAGAGATGTCTAATCCATCTGTCCATGGAGATTATCCTGCTTGGCTAAAGCAGCCTGGGGGACACTGGGAGCCAGTTTTCAGCTCTCTGAGCAGGACCTGGTGTGGCCTTAGGTGTGGTAGTGCAGCATCCTTGCCCCTTGGCAAAGCCAGGAGGGAGTTGTGGCTTCACCATGGTTCCTCTTGTGTCTAGCAGCACCTGCTCCCCATTGCTTTTCCTGTAAGAGAAGGAAATTAGGTGTTCCTGCCCAAATAATTTCTCCGGGTGTGTCCTGGCCACATGGGACTGATGGCAGTAAAACTGCTTCATCTTGAAGTTAATCCAAAATGCGTGTGAAGAGACCTCCAGGCTGTGTGGGAATGTCACTGTCATATTTTCTGGAAAAATCCCTTCTCCAGGATTTCTTCTCCTGGGAAGCTGAGAAGCCTCAGAGAAAAATGGAAACAACAATTATCTGATTGC